AAGACACCAAATCCTAACATAGAAACTTAAGATATCGTTCTAGACATATGAAACATCAAGGAGACACCCAAAAGCTCAACAATCCAACAAAGGGAGGCCAAAACATCACAAACCAAAGGGTGGAACTACGGGAAAACAAACCCCCGCCACATTCCCCCTGTGTACCCCGCGGGTGGGTACTTACCCGCGGCACTGCCCGCCGGGTACACACCTCCTCCCACGGGTGGGGCGGTGGGTGGACATCTGCCCGCGGGGAACATACTGTACACCAATAATTCCCTTCGGGAAAATTCATCAACAAAGTCAAGTTCAAGTCCAAAACACCCCAAATCTCACATACAACAAGGACTTGAACCCAAGAATAGATCAAAAGATAGCATTTAAGAAACCTAGATACAAGCTCTAAACATGCATCATCACAAGATCATGTATCAAATCTCACATTAACACCAAGAATCATCAATAGAAGTCAAGAATCATCAATAGCAAGTAGAAAATAGGTTTTGTATAGCATGGGTTACCTTTGAAGACCAAGAAACTCTTCCTTTCTACCCTCCTAAGCTTCTCCTTGAAGCTCCTCTTCAACCAAGTCTTCTTAGTTCTTACACAACCAAAACCACAAAGAAAACACTAATCTTAGATAAAGACTAGGTAAAGCTAATTAAAAACACCAACTAATCCTAGATCTTACCCTTCCTTAAGCTTGGGAGATTGAAAGGTGGAATCTTGGAATGATTCCTAGCAAGGATGAAGGAGATTCTTCTTGGCTTGGGGAAGAAGCCAAGTTTTCTTAGAGAGAAGGTAGAGAAATGTTTTCTTGCCAATGTGGGGAAATGAGATTTAGGCTTGATAGGGTAAGGCTTCAAGACCAAGCAAGTGGAAAAAGACTATAATGGCCTTACTTTCCATAGAAAAGCTTAGGAAGACCCAAAGAGTTAGGTACAACCATCAAAGCCAAATGTCCCCCTTTTTGACTTAAATCAATTGACCAAGGAGTTGGTCAATTTAAGTCCTCCGACTATCAATTTGGGAAATTGATAAGAAAGTCCACAAGGATGACTTAGGATTAATTATCCAATTAATCATATTTAAAGGATAGGATTTTCGGGGTGTCACAATATCCGACAAAGCCTTGGTACCGTGGAAGCCCGGGTGGCATGCACAACCTAATGTAACCCCACTTCCACTGAGGGCAGGCGCGATGCCCGTGAACCAACCCTAACGAGTAAGAGACACCAGGGCTGAAGTTGAGGTCAACTCACCTAGGGCGTCAGGTCATAACCCGAGGTCGTTGGGGGCACGAAATCGATTACTTGGCCCGAGCTAATTCCACATCAGATTACTTGGACGCCTGGCGAAGAACTTGTTGTACCATTAGATATCCAACGAGGGAAGGACTGTGTGTTTGAGAACATCGGACCAATATCATTAATCTAGCAAAAGTACACCTAGGGACCCCACCACAAAGCCCAAAGCTATTTTATCTTTTTCAAGGATAAATGGGGGGCTTGATCCCAAACATCTACCTATGTTTTCCCTAGTGTCATTACAAGGTCTAACCTCCCCTAACGCTAGGCAAAGTAATAAATCCATGGTCGCGCTTATGTATGATGGCCTCGACCTTAGCATTTTCTAATGGTAGTACGGGGCCCGCCCCCGCTCACTACCTGATGGAAGAGCCTATTCTTGGCTTATTCCATGCACAGTGGTCCACCTAACAACCCATTTCTATTATAATAAAGTGTTATCCCATGCAAAATTTAGCACCAAGCTAATTTTACCCTTTTGAGGGGGAGAGAGGGGCTGAGCCATAGGACCTAGAGCCTATTCGCATGGCACCTGGTGTTTGCGCGCTTGGTACCTAGATCATGGCCCTCGGGCTGGGATGCCTAGGCCGTTATCCACAAAAAAATGCTCGCATGCTCGCTACATTTCTTAAAGGTCGGCATGAGATTTAAATCTGCTAGCTACTCGACGGAAGAACCTTTCCATGGTCGAGCCACTTGGGTGTGGAAACGTTAATCCCCCAAGGCCAGCACGAGACTCGAACCTGCTAGCTACATTAACGGAATAGTGAACCTTTGGCCAAGCCCATGACGTAGTCGAAGTAAGCTGACTATTACAAAACAAAAAAAGAAAAAAAAAAAAAAAACAACAACAACAAATGACACGGAAGACAAAAAAAAAATTGATAATACTAGTTATACATAGCAAGCAGAAGAGATGAATTAGCCCCGTGCCGATCGAAAGTCTGACCTGCTGAACCCTAGAGTTACAATTAGCTAAAATTAGTTACAATTCCCTTGTATAAATAGGCATTGTTCAATTATTACTAGATAGGTCTTATTCCCTTACAAGATATCACTTAACATGTCATATACCCACGCTAATTTTCAAGCTCTTATCCATTCCACATCATTACTAGTCTACTCAATTATATATTTTACCCCCTTGTATATTTTATACGAGCTTATTGATCCGTATATATAATTGCATACCCCGAATCAATTAGTTCCTATCAAATAAATATAACAAAACTAGTAGTATAATACATCATATTCTTCTGGACAATTATAAGAGATATCACTCAAATTTCTCTGATTCTTGGATAATCAGATATCTACCATTCTCTACCGAAACAATTAACCCAATAACCCAAAAGACCTAGAGGACATATAACATTCAAAACACAAGTTCCTTCTAGAAATATATATATATATATATATATATATATATATATATATATATATATATATATATATATATACATATATACTTCTGCTCAAATGCAGTCGCACCTTCCCGTGCAGTCAGTGCGGCCGCTTGAAAAAGACACCAATAGTGTTAGGAAAGTGCATAACAATGAAATGCACAAATACACCAAAAAACACACAACACACCCACAATAATGCACCATAACTCCCCCACTCTTAATTGTGCATTTCCTAACTCTGTGGTGCTTTTATACATACCTAATGGTGCGTTTTTGGTGATGAATATCTAATGGTACATATTTTTTGTTGTGCATTTTCTAACACTGTTGGTGCATATTTGTATAACTAGTGGTGCGACCGCATTAACCGCACGAGAAGGCGGGATCGCACCTGAACTCGAATATATATATATATATATATATATATATATATATATATATATATATATATATATATATATATATATATTCTTAAAACAAACCAAATGACAAAAATTCCTGATCAATAAATTTTAAAAATTCTTAACAAGTTTAAAATAATATTAATAACTCCACAACAAAAAAAATGTTGTTTAACTTTTCATAAATTATGTATAAACATATAAAATTAATCATCTGTATAAATCTCCAAGTAGCATGAGTAATCAATTATAAGGAGAACCATCTTTTAGTGATTGTACTAATTTTCTTATTGTATTTGAATGGTTTTTATTAAAAAAAAAAAAAAAAAAAAAAAAAAAAAAAAAAAAAACCTTTTGAATAAATAGTTATTTCAGGTAGTTAAAAAAGTACTTTTTAAAAGTGAATTGAAATATTAATTAATCTCATTTAATTTATTTATCCAAACTTTATCCATTACGGATCTTCTGAAATTTGCATTGGCTAAATGTGGCCAAACAATGAAAATTAAAATGTGAATTATATTTGTTTTCACTTTGACAAAAAGAGGGTGAGTCTTCAAGATGAAGTTGTATTGTTTCTTTAATTTATTAATTCAAATATCATTTTCAAAAACTAGTAAAGTTTCTTTGGAAAACCTGTCATTCACCCTCTAGCCTTTCGGTGGCCAAATTCAATCACTTTCACACCACACACTCTTTCTCTCTCTCTCTCTTCTAATCATTTCCCATCATCTGAACCCCCAAGTGTCACTCTGCTCCCAAGTGAATGAAAGTAAATGTCTATGCAACACATTGTCCCTATAAGAGAATGCTATTTGCATTTTTAGGATATTTTCGTTATATAACTTATAGTCATATATTAATTAGAAAGGAAGTAGAAAAGAGGGGAAAAAATAATATAATCTCTTAAGACCAATCATCAATTAAAATGTGTAAAAATGAAATAAAGAAATATTGTTGTTTTACTCTCAGAGTTATAATGTATGTGTAATTTCTCTTCTAATTAATGTGAAATTACAATATTACTCCTTAATTATTCAGCAAGGTAGCGTATTTAGTCCTAGTTCTAATGGATGGAGTTCTTTTAGATGAATTCTAAACAATAATAAATAGAAATGACAAAATTGTATTTTCAGTATGATTTTCTTAGATTAAAACCTAAAAAAACATCCAACAAGTTTATACGTACTGCATATTGTGGACGATATTTGTAGATGATTCAATCAATTTTGAATGAAAATAGGGAATTTGTGGGTCTCTAAGAGATTTTATTGTATAAAAATTAGAATCGTTAATAGTTGGGATATTCAAAATTTACTAAACTATCATCAATTACAACTCATGTCAGAAACACATGTAGATTTTTCATCCAAAATTACGATATCCACATGTGAGAACTAATTACACCACCTTAGTAACTAAGTAATTGGTATTATTACAACACCAACACCATACTAATTAGAGAACACTTATGTTATGACCTGAGACTAAAGCTGTAATTTTTCCTAAATAAAAGTAGTAAGGGGGTGTTTGGTTGGATGGAAATCTGTTATCAAGGAAAATGTTTTCTTTAAATTTGAGAAAAATGAATTTTTTTTTTATTTGGTGCATGAAAAACTTTTTACACAAAGGAAAAGTTTCCTTAAGGGTATGTTGGTGATATTTTGTTTTCCATGAAACTTGGGAATAAAAAACGAGTTGACATAATTATTTTACCTTTGTGATTCGTTCTTACTTTTATTATCATTATTATTGTGTAGGGGATATAGATTTTTATACTCAGCTCATTATTTCTCACAATTTCAAATCTTACTAAAAAATGGAATTAATATGTAGGTCTTTTTTCTACTAATTAAACAATTGGCGAACTAAAAGGGATCTAAAACTCTATTTAATATTGGAATCTTGGGGGTGATGCATCCTAACCTTAACAAGAAAAGCAAAAGCCGGTTCTCATTCCCACAATATCCTCTCTTTAGCCCTCTCTTTTTGACTCCCAAATCTAACACCATGTTTCCCTTTGTCTTTCTCGATTCTTGTGCTTTAGTCTTTAGCCCCTTTCACCCACACCCATATAAATTCTCTCTATGCTATACCACTTCCCACTCTTAAAACATCCATCATAAACCACACCATGGCGGTTGATGTGTGTTCAGAGGTCTCAAGCTTAGTAGTCAGCCCAAGAATCTCCTTCTCTCATGACCTCAAAGAATCAGACAGGATGATCCTCACCCCTGTCCGAGAATCCCATCCTCTCATCTCCACCATTGATTTCGATTTCTGCATCACAACCGACCAAATCTTCTCCTCGGCAGACGAGCTCTTTGCCAATGGCAAAATCCTCCCCGTTGATCTCAAGAAACCCTCACCACCAAAACCCACTTTTCACCATTCTTCTTCTACTAATGAACCCACCCAAGCTCTTGGAAATGGGGATTTGCGGCACACGAAACGACATATGCTTAAAGAGCTCCTATCACTATCAGCAAACTCAGAAGAAGCGAAACCGCCGCCACCTGCAAAGCCACCATTCTGGCAGTTCAAAAGAAGCTTTAGCTTGAACTGCGAAAATGGCCGGAGCAATAGCCTCATAAGATCTCTGCAGTTTCTGTCGCGAAGCAATTCTACAGGCTCTGCACAGAATCAGCGGCGGAATTCAAAGAAAGAGCCTCCGCCGGCGGTGGTGGCTATGCGCGCCGCATCATCATGCGGTGGCGACATTCACAGCCACCCTTTGAGAAGTTCATCTAAAAAGAGCAGTAGTAGTAGTCCATTAAAGAAGAGTAGGAGTGGTAGAGCTTATGGTAGTTTAAAAATTAGCCCTGTTTTGAACATCCCACCTGCTTATATTTCTAAAGCGACTTTGTTTGGTCTAAGTTCATTATTTTGTAATGCCAAGTCCAAAAAGAAGAAAAAATGACAAGTACAGTGTGCTTTATATGCTTCTTGAATCAAAGTATCATGGTATATATATATTTCATTCTCTACCAACTTGTAGCCCTAACGTTCTGGTTCTGGTTCCGGTTCTTGAAATTGTCTAAATGTAAGTATTCAACAATTTTTTTTTTCATCTACAATTTTTTAAACATAGTTATATCAAATATTTAAAATTTAATGTTAAACTAAAAAATAATAATAATTTTGAACTTGCACTTAATTTTACCAAGACTAAGTTGCATACGTATTTTATTGAAATTTCAATAAGAATCTAAGCCTACGTAATTCTCTTACATTTTTTAAGAGTCAGTTTGTTCACTTTCGGCTGCAGTGGTTCTATCATCGGAAAAGAAATCGTTGATGATGCTTGATTTGTCGTTTTCTTGTTGTCTAAGTTTTGCCAATCCCCAATCGGCTATGCAAACTTGAATTTCGATTGATTGCAGCGTCATTCTTGAACGAGACTCGTCCATCATGTTTCCACCTGCACTAAATTCCTGTTCTACTCCCACGATAGAAGCATAAGTTCCAAAATTTTGTTTTGCAATAATAGATAAAATAGGAAAAAAAAAATTCATGGTCTTTCCACCACTGCATGTCCCACTTACCCGACGATTTTTACCCGCTCTAGCTAACAGGTTAAAATCTCTACTTTGTTGAGATGATTGCGAGCTTTGCGAACTACTTCGGGAAGACAAACTAATATTCAACGAAAGACCATAAGTCTCTAAATACTCTTCATACAAACTATGAAACAAATTTATTATTTCATTATGTACAGTATTAATATTAACATAAATGAATTTCACTATTATTTAAAAAAAAAATCATAACAAATCTTTGTAATGAATAGTACTACTAAGCAAAGTAAACGTAGAGTTCCAAAGAGTTGGTACATCGGGGGGGGGGGGGGGGGGGGGGGGGGGGGAAATCATTTTGGAGGCATATTATTTCTTTTACAAAATGTACTAAATTCTTTTTGTGCGTAAAGATATTTTCACACAAAAAAAAAAAAAAAAAAAAAAAAAAAAAAAAAAACCCATCTCTAATGAGTTTAATACTACTACTACAGTACTACTCAGTGAAGTCAAACCAGCTTGAAGACATAAATTTAAGAGTTAATTACTGATTTGGTCCATCGACTATGAGGATTTCACCAATTTAGTTCTTGACTACCAAAATTCTTCAATTTAGTCCCCGATTATGCCTTTTTGACCCGAAAAAGTCAATAATTTTATAGGTGGTGTAAATAACAATTAAGGTGTCAATATGACTATTATTTACACCAGCCTAGTCAAATATAATTTAATTACACAAAAAATTAGATATTAGAGTTTTTAAAAAAAAAAAGTTTTGGAATTAGAAATATTATTTTAATAAATTTAAATTAAATAATTAAATAATTAAATTTAAAAATTAAAACATTAAAAAAAAAACCTCATCAGCGAGGTTTTTTTTTAATGTTTTGATATTAAAATTTTTAAATAATTATTTAATTTGAATTTATTGAGAGATTGTGGATTTCGAGAGGCAGATATCTGTCTTAGTTTTTAGAGGATGAATGGTTCAAAATTCGATCTAATTTAATGGAAGAACTAGAATCTCACAAGATGGAATATATCAACATGTTCGGAACTCAACGATGGTATAGCGTCTATAACTCGTTGAATTTTTTTGAATTAGATCGGTGTGCACCAGTTGAGTACTGAATGACTATGGCGGAGATTGGTGTACTAATTGCTTTCAGATACAATGTGATATTACATGTTTTGAATATGGCCGGTAGTACGACATATTTACCGCTCTGATCTAGCCCACCACCTTGGTACGAGCATGTAGCAAATGCCCTTGTACTAATTGCTTTCAGATACAATGTGATATTACATGTTTTGAATATGGACGGCAGTACGACATATTTACCGCTCTGATCTAACCCACCACCTTGGTACGAGCATGTGGCAAATGCTCTTGGTCACGTTAATAATAATCATTATGTTAAAGTAACATTGACAAGGAGGGTACCCAATGCCTACTATTGATCCGCAATGGATTTATTTTAGATATGGTTGTGCAGACGCATGGATTACTCCATATGTGAGTCGGATCAATAGTTACCATGAGCACGTCGCTCTAATTGTACGCATGAGAATTTTATATTCGATTGAAATGAAATGAAATTTTCTTTTTATATTTTATTGTGATGTTAATGTGTTTTTACATTTTTAATTAATTTATTATATTTTTATAATAAGGTAAAATAATGCATACAAAAAATTGGAGTTATAAAGAATAGTTTTTTGAATGCCTCTATTACAATGTAGTTTCTGTTCATAACTACTTTCTCAACCTATTGAAGCACCGCCTCCACTGAAGTTATTTGGGAAGTTATGGTGTATGATTAAGATTCCAAATTTATGGCCTTAGACCTTTGGTTTATTATTGAGTTATTGGAATGCTTCTGTGACTTGACTATCTTTTGGCTATTTTGATGTGTGGGATTGACAGATGTGTTAACTCCAAGCTCAAGTCATAGAATATAGTTAGCATTATGCTAACATTAAGAAATCTCTACTTAAGACATGCTTCTAAAGTTTTAGAGACAATACAATGTACTCTTTTGTACAATTTGGATGTGTTTCTCCTTTCAGTTGTGCATATAATATATTTTGAGAAACATCCCTTAAGGTACCAAGAATAAACGTTGGGTTTGTTCATGAGGGACCTAAGTTGGAGAATTAAAATGCATGTGACCATAATGGATACTACTCTGATTAAATAGAGAACATGTCACTATGATTCTTGTGTTTTGTTCTTTGGCGAGGGTTGTGCTAGTACTTGCACCAAGTGGGAGACTATAAGATTTCCCTAATAATATATATTGTATATTATATATTAGGGCCTTAATTAAGTGGTGCAAGTTGACTAGGCTTATTAAGTGGTCTGGTTGGATTGAATAACTAGAAGTTGTTATTCAACCGGACTCTGTGCCTAATATAAACCTGGATCGATGGGCTTCAGGATATTCATTATATAGCACATAAATATATGGTACTCATACTGCTCACTATACACCAATACGACATCTAGGGTTCTAAGTCAAGTGTGAGACAAATATGGCCGACGGTTTACCGTTCAATAGGCAACATCAACTGTGGCTAGAGATCAACACGACTATCGCTTCAGCTTATACGAGGTTAGGTATCTCGTATTATTATTCAGTATAGTTAGATTATTTATGTCTAACGTGATTATGTGTATTTGTTTATACAATTATGTATATTTTTTTAATACAATTATGTACATCCGAATCAAGAAATTAAAAAAAAAAAAGTATGTGTATTTTGTTATACAATTATGTACATTCATGTATACAATTATGTGTATTCTAGTATAAAATTATGTATATTTTTGAACATAATTTTTTTAAAAGGAAATTAACCACCAACACAGTGCAGCGAATTTAAAAAATAATAATAATCTGAAACGACGTCGTTTTGCATCAGGGTGCACAATGCAATACGCGCCCTGGTGGAGGATATAAATTGTCCACTTCGTGGTTTACACACAAAAACTTTTTATTATTTACTCCGTATTATGATAGTAAACTTATTTGCGAGGAGCTGTACTTTTTTTTTTTTTTTTTTTAAATAAGAGGAGCTGTACTTGTAAGAAAGGCTATTCATAGTTTCACGTTCATCAAAGGAAGCCTGGGCATCAAGCAGAAGCATAGGGAGAAGGAGCAAAAATGTCAGGCAGTATAGCGCGTGGTCATCTCGCCAAGGAGCGCAAAGCCTGGAGGAAGAATCACCCTCATTTCTTTCTCTTTTATCTTTCTTCCTCACTCTGTTTGTATATATTTCTGTGTGTGTATGTGTGTTTCTTTAACTATGGGTTTTTATGTTTTCGCGCTGTTTTTAGGGTTTTGTAGCGAAGCCGGAGACCGCTGCGGATGGGTCTGTGAATTTGATGGTTTGGCATTGCTTTATCCCTGGTAAAATAGGGGTAAGTTCTTTTCTGCTTTCTCTTCCCTTTTAAGAATTTTTTGCACATTTCTGTGCACAGATTGGGTAAAGTTTTAGTCTTGATTTTTCATCAGTATTTCACTATGCCAGTTGTTTCTGATTTTCTATTGTGTGTGTAATTTGAATTTTAGTATAGTTGTTGAAGCTACCGATTTGTTTTGGGTAGTGCTCATGAGGCATTTTGCCTATCAACTGTTTGTCATTTTGTAAAGCTCTGTAATTTGACAGTAATCGCAGAAAACTTAGTAGTGTAATATAAAAGTTGCTTATATGCAAAGATTTTTATGGCGTATAATGTCCCATGCTGCCATGCACTTGAAGTTATTGTCTGTAATTTAATTAGTGTAAGATATATTAAATATAATATATATTATATATAATATATCTATGTATTTATATATAATAATATATAAATAGGAAGAGAGAGAGAGGAATAGATAATTTTATTGATGATTAGAAATGCTTGAATAACAAATTTATTTATACTAGATAAGATAATTCAAATGCTAAAATAAAGGAGTTAATGCTCCATGTAAAGCTAACATCATGGCCATGTACTGCACCTATAATTACTATCATTAATTTTAACCAATTAACTAACTACTTGGTTTAATATTAATAATAATAATAATAATAATAATAATAATAATAATAATAATAATATTATTATTATTATTATTATTATTATTATTATTATTATTATTATTATTATTATTATTATTATTATTATTATTATTATTATTATAACATTGCCTCCTTTAAACCAAGTTGAATATATTGGTCATCCCAATATCCTTCTTCAATTTAAGAAATGTCTCTGTCTTCAACGGCTTCGTAAAAATATCTGCAACTTGACATTCACTCGAACAATACTCAATGTTGATTTGTTTTTCAGCAACCAGTTCTCTGATTTTGTGATACTTGATATCAATGTGTTTACTGCGACCATAAAAGACAGGATTCTTGGACAACGAAATTGCTGACTTGTTGTC